GGATAAGCGGGAGAAAATGGATGGATGGATGGATAAATGAGCTTGGATGACTTCAGGTTTCTTCAAAAGCAGAGGTAGTGGGTTTTAATGCCTGGGATTCGTGGCCCCCCACTGCAGAGTGCAAAAATAAAAGCTCAGTAGAGCAGCGCTGTGCAGAATACATTAACTAGACCTGAAGTTCACTAATGAACTTTGCTAATGGATATGTGGCTAGCTGCTTTGTGCATTTCGCTGCGCTAACGCTAATGGATATGTGGCTAGCTGCTTTGTGCATTTCGCTGTGCTAACGCTAATGGATATGTGGCTAGCTGCTCAGAGGTTAGGCCTCTGTGTGTGATATGATTTTGCCTGTTACAATCCCATGACTGGCAGAGTGATTTCACCGTTGGGCCCTTGAGCAAGGCCCTTAACCCCAACTGTTCCAGGGACTGGCTGAACCTGCTCTCTGATCCTCATTCATGTCACTTGTGAGAGAAACGTTTGAGTGAATGTCATGCACTTCAACATGCTAACGCTAATGGGTATGTTACCAGCCGCTTCCATAGGAACATCTACATCCAACCTACAGCTCGTCATCGAGCCAAACAGCCCTCCGGATGTCTGCAGTCAGCCTCTTCAGGCTCTGGAATCAGTTGCTTCTTTTCTTATGCCTGGCCCTTCATAGTGGAACATTTTCGCCCCCTCACAAAAATTAAAAAAAAAAAAAAAACTTGAATGAATTCCTTCCACTCTTCAAGAAAAACACACAACCCACCTCTTCAGGCAACATTTCACCCATGATTTACTGAGGCCGTGACCAACTGATTAACCTGGCCTGCCAATGACATGTATTGCTATATCCGCAGAGCATATCTGTGTACTCGATGACTGTCTTTACATTGTTGTGATGCTATAATACACAACACTGAATACACAAGCTGTTAACATACTACATCAGTTCCTGTATATCTGTGCTCCCCCAGGCTAACAGCGTCTATCCCCTAGATGCCAAAGCTGGTGGCCTGGTCCTGGAGCTCCAGGCCGTGTGGGAGGAGTGTGGCCTGCAGCTGGCCCTGTGCCAGCCCCTGCAGCCCCAGCCCCCGCAGGAAGAGGGGCCTCGGGACCAGCTGCTGGTCCTGTTTGACAGGGACACGGCCGCCCACCTCCTGGCAGGCCCTGGGGACAGGGTCCACGTGCACGCCCCATGGTAAGCTCAGGCACAGCCCGACACGAGCAGAGCGCTTCAGTGAGGGGTGTCGCCTTCAGCATTCCCTGTTCAGCTGCCTGAATTAACATTTATAAATCTGACATTTGTTATCATGGAATAAATCTCTGGCGAGTTCCGCTCCCACCGCGTGAACCGATGCCTCTCAGAAAATCTTCATTAACTGTAGTTTAGACAGATTTGTGTCGGACGGAAAATGTCGCCCTGTTTCCGTTCCGCAGCACACACCTCCGCGTCATCGCTGTGACGTGAGCTGACACGCCACTAGTGAGTAGTGAGCCTCCGTGCGAGGCTGGCCAGTGCCTCCCGTGTTTCACCGGCCACCGTAATCCCAAGCTGCCTCCGATTCGAGAGAAACTGGGCATGCTGGTGCGATGAACGTGCCTTTTCCTTGTCATGCCGTTTTCCTGAATTAAAAACATACATTTTGTGATTTTCTGCAGTGCCTTTTAATATTTGATTAAAGAAACAAGACAATTGACTTAATATTTACCCAAGAGTTTAATAACATTTTTTTTCTCTGCTGCATCACTAGCTTGCTAGTCATGGGAAATGCTTAGGACAATTCCTTAATTTCATTAAAGTGTTAAAAAGGCACAGTGGTTTGTTGGATATTTTGTTCACATTCTTGTTTATTACTTCAAGAAGTGTATAAAATGTGAGTTTTTAGGTGTTGTGTGAAAGGGTTTAGTAGGGATGTGTAATTGTTCCTAGGAATAATGACCCTGTTGAGCAGTCTTCTTTGTAATATGTGGTATCTTGAGGCAATAAATTATTCAGTTATTCCTTTGAGTTATTTTGATTTGATTTATGGAGCATATGAAATAATCGTTAGATATTTAATTTGATGTGTTCTCTCTAGGTAAATGGATTGGCTGGTATGTGTCTGCATGTAATCAGATGCATAGGAGGCCATGTTTTCACTGTCGGATTTAGACTTTGTTGTGTTTGCACAAATGCAGAATACCGCAGAAAGCCATAAAAACAATATGATTTAAGTTTAGTAAGTAAGTGCTACGCTGCAGGTCGACGGCAGCGAAATGTGTCCTTTGCAGGGCAGATTGTCTGGATTTGATTTTTGAGAATCTGTAGTGTTCTCCTCGCAGGAATAGTGGGCCGGCTTTGTCAGCTGCCGTTTGTCTGTGCAAATCGGATCTTTTGGCATGATATCTTTCTACTACAAAGGCAAAATGGTTACATGCAAATGAGAAGCGGTGATGAATTGGCAATTAAAAGCTACTAAATGACTAACACCTGAGTCAGGGCAGAGAGACTGGGCCAAAGGTTGGCGAGTGCACAGATAAGGGCATGAAGTTTAAACTGAGCCCCAACACCGAGGTAATCATTTAGGTAAATAGGCCTCTTGATGCTGGTTATAAGGTCCGAGCTGCTCTGTGCTGGCTGCTTTGTTTACGATTGCATTTCCCTGTGATTGAGACCTGGTTTGTGCACTCAGTATGTACTCCGTATGTATGGTGATTTTTATCTCTGAAAAGATGAGTCACAGTTAATGGGAGGAAAGGTTTTTCAGTTCAGGGCCCAGGTTAATAGACCCATTTGCATCCCCTAAACAGAACTTTGGCTCCTCTGGCTGTTCCGGCCGTACTGCTCCGTCAACAAAGGGTAGCGGTAGCTGTTATTGTGATGATTCATTGTAGCTGGGCTGAAAGGACAGAGAGTCTGTGGTTCAGTCCCTTTAGTGACTTTGCCTTGTTCCTTAAGGACAAACCCTTCCAGGCCGTGATGCCGACTTGCCCAGTCCTACTCACCAGCCAAAGATATGTAGTCAACATCATTATTAGTAGTAACAAATTAGACATAGGCTGTTCAGCTCATCTCGCATAGCAAATGCGCTAAGTGGCACTGCTCGGGATTAAGCTCGAGGTCCAGCGAGCGCCTTAACGAGCACCCAGCGCACTCACTCCGCCGGCTCCGTGCTGAGCCTCCCCGGGCACGGTGACTCCAGTGCTTTCGCTGTGCTGAGATGTTGGAAAGGCACGCCAATAGATAATCCACCGTAGAATTACAGCAAGCGTGTCTGGACTCGAACGGAGCCGCAGCGTATCAGCTCTGCTCAGGGACTGTGTCACGTATAGCGTTATCTGTGTATGCTGAAACTGACTGATGCGTAAATCCGGTGTATCTGCACTTCCCTGTTTCTGTGTCGTCATGTTCCTGTGTTGCCTTCACTCTGACTGTGCTATGTAGTAGGATCCTCTTGTTTCTGGGTAGCTCTGCGCTTTTGCTCTGTAACTGTGCTGTGGAATCATGTTTTCTTTTTCCCATGTAGCTCTCTGCTCTGGCATTGACTGTGCTGTGGAATCATGTGCTCTTGTTCCTGTGTAGCTCTTTAACTGTGCTGTGTGATAATGCTGTGTCACTCCTTGTGGCTGTATAGTTTATGCTGTGTGATTTTCTTTGCATATTTTATTTGGGTAAATCACTGTGCTACGACTGTGTGATTCCTTTGTGGCTGCCTAAATCCTTTGTTTTTCCTTTATAACTGAATAACTGTGCTCTGGCTGTGTAGTTCCTGTGCTCTGGCTGTGTAGTTCCTGTGTATCTGGCTGTGTAGTTCCTGTGTATTTTGTGTACTGACTCTCGCTCCAGAGAGATCCTGCTCCAGATGGGCCGTATGTCCGGCCTTCGCTGGAATTTCCAGGCTGGGGCGGTGGGGGGGGGCTGCTGTGTGTGTGCAGAGCGATGTGGAGCTCTGACGTCAGCCTCCACTCCTGGGAATGGCTTGCATTCCTCTTCCTGGCAGTGGTCAGGTGGCTTCCAGCAAGAGGGGGGGGAAACACATTGGGATTATTTTCAGCGGCAATAAGGAACAATTCGTAATCGCTGTGGGGACTCGCCGGACGACGCCAGGAGACTCAATTGAAAACACATTCGGCACAGTACATTACTGGCATGTCATTTGGATTCCCGTGTTTGTTTCCTTTTTGTTTTTTTTTCCCTTTCTGTTTATGAAGAGCTGTGGTGTCCAGTCGTTCTGAGCACAGGACTGCATTGGTCCTGAAGGCACACGTGGCTGCACCGCCATAAACGAGCAGCATGCGTGTCGCGATCCGCTGCACACCTCTGCATCACTGTCAGAGGTCAGAGGTCAAGCAGCCGCTAACGTGCCCCGCTCTGCTTGTGACCTGGAGCCCTCTGCCTTCATAGCCCCCTAGCCCCAGGGCCACCCTGCGTCCTGGCCCAGACCGTGTGAAGGTGCGTCAGAGGTGGCCCCTTATGGTCTCCTTCCAACAGCACAGGCATTCCTGGAGTTCCAGTCATCTGCGCGTCACCCCTGTAATTCAGTTACGGTGGGCAGCCAGCGCCACTAACGTGACGTTTATTTCAGTCACACCAATTACTCAGTCGCTGCAGATCTGATCAATTTTAGGTTGGCGGTTTGATTTGAATAATTAAAGAGTTTTATATTTCACATTCAATATATATGTGTTACACAGACTCTGCAGAGGGGTGATGGAGTTTTTCTGTCCCGTCAGCTGAGTGGTGCAATGCATTCCTTCGCCTCGTATCTGAGAGGGGCGCCAGTCCCACCCACGTGCTCCTCCTCGGAGCGGCCATGCGAAGGAGTAGCAGGAAATTCCAGGTTGCCTCTGCCATATTTGGGCACGGATCAGCCTCACCTTTGGGTGCATCTTTCTGACGTTGCCACAACCGACAGCCCACTTGTTTACGTCAAGTTTCCCGTAAATTAAAAAAAACAACCAAACCCTTTTGAAACTCTTTAATGGTATTCCCTCTCATTCTACCGGATAACATCCAGATGAAATGGCAGTATGGAATCCCTGCTCTCCCTTCCTCTGGTTGTTTACATGTGAGGTGAACTTTGTTCACTTTTGTCAGAACCGTCAGGGTGTGCGGTTTGGACTGGATGGGAACGTAGGTGTGTTGGGCTGGATAAGCAGACGCCTGTGAAGGGCTGGGGTGAGAATGTCTGTGCAGGATCAAATGGCTGCGCTGCTCTGGGCTCCAGATGGAACGCAAAATTATGTAACCTTTTTGTTTGTCGAGCAGCAAGGATGGTAGTAATTTTTCTCCCCTTAAGGAACATGTTTTAGGTCACTATAGTTTGAGACTTTATTTAAATGCATTAAAAAAAACATATTTCAAATTTTGATTCATTAGTCCTTAAGACAATTTCACTCTCATTAATAGAGAAATATATACAGTTTATAACACACAATTATGGTGTCATGCTGGTTTTATTAAAAACTTTTGACTACTGCAGAGCTTTTGGCTGAATTTTTAAAGAAGGGTTCAATTAACCCATTCTGCTAGCTTGGTATATGCATGTAAACAAAATGCCACAAGGAAAATAGTGATGGCTGAACATTAGAATTAAGATGAAATAAGCCTAACAGAAATATAATAGGTGTTTCTGCTTCCCCCTTGGTGTGCTGTATGAGTTTGTGAGAGTTGGCTGACTGTGATTTGCCCTCAGTGAGAGGCTGAGGCAGCACTCAGGTCATATTCTGCTTTTCTGGACGGGCTTTTCTGATATTAATAGATTGTATGCATGATACTTCCTAAAGGCTGTGGTTACAACCGTGATTGCCTTAATTACCAAAATTTAGTTTTTGATTTTTAGCAGGATGTTAGTCTCATGTAAATCCCATGTGTTCCTTCAGAAACGTCAGTGTGGGTTCATCGGCCTCTCATTAACCGCTCCTGACTTGCATTTCTGTAAAAACAAAATGAACTTCTGAGGTTAAGTTGTGATTGTATTTATGCTCAAACTCTAGCAGAAGTGAGAGCACAAATCGTACCAGTTTGTACTCGATCCCAGTGGCATGAATCCAGCCAGATCCCACTGATATCCAACCCGGGTGGAACAAACACAACCAGTATCCGAGCCTATACTTGTCCCCGGCGGCAGAGGTGGATATTTCAGGTCCAGAATAAAAAAAAAATCCAGGCCAGGATTTTGTTTCAACCAACCAGCTGAGCACAAGGAGTCAGTCGTATAGTACACAAGTGGTTGGTTGAAACAAAATCTCAGTCTGGATTTTTACTTTCTAGACCTGAAATGTCCACTTCTGCCCAGCGGAACAAATATAGCTGGTATCCAACCCTGGCAAAACAAATACGTTCAGTACCTGACCCCAGTGGAACAAATGCATCTGGAACCTGACCCCGGTGGTGAGATTACAGATGGTACCTGATCCTTGCAGAACAAATACATCCAGTACTCATCTCTGGTGGAACAAAAACATCTGGAATGTGACCCCAGCTGCAAAATTACAGATGGTACCCGACCCCAACGTAACTAATACAGTCAGTACCCGACACCAGCGGCGAGATTACAGATGGTGCCCGACCCCAACGTAACTAATACAGTCGGTACCCGACACCAGCGGCGAGATTACAGATGGTGCCCGACCCCAACGTAACTAATACAGTCGGTACCCGACACCAGCGGCGAGATTAC